GAACAGCTAGAAAAGATTTTGCCCTGCTTCCCAAACATAGCTATTTTGAAGTTATATCCTTGAGAAGATCTCATTCCCTGGGAGCTAGCACAAGTTGTGACTTTTCATCATGAAGCTCTTTTGATTATACTGAAAGGTACTTCCGTATTTTCTCTCAAGGAATGCAAGTAGATTTTTTTTTTGTCCATCAGGGCACGTAAGATCCAATCAAATGGGTTGGCATCATGGTGAATCTTTGAATCCATCTGTCCCTAAATGAAATGTCTTGGAGAACAAGTGACCCAAGAAAGTGGCTCCATATATAATAGATCCCTCTAGAACGTGTTAGATTTTCAATAACAAGTAGTTTTCTTTTACATTCTAAAAATTATTATTTTGACAGAATGGGTGATAACTTCAACTATATATGTACTGAGTCAAAAATATTAAATATTGACTGTTCACTTAAAAAGGAATTACTGCATAAATAACTTCTGCCATTTTAGCTATACTCAACACACTAACTCTTCCATTACTGGTACAGGGTCTAAAAAGCTGCATGCAAAAAAGTTTCTTCTACATCTAAATGTCTGCAATTACTGGTACAGTAAACAGCTACTTTCAAAATTAATATGTAACAGTAATAAGATACATGTAAACAATTAACATAGAAAAGACAACATTCTAGACTATAAACTGAATCTTCAGACACAAGGAAAACAATGTGTTTGTATTTACAGAGTCTTATGAACACAAATCAAAAGTAATCGCCACACAAATAACATTATAATATAGCTACAAAACAAAAAACATTTCAGAACAGCTTACTATAAGAATCAACAGTCAGTATCTTAATACAAAAAGGAAGGAAGTTGGGGGAAATGGAAATCTATCTTAATATCTTATTTCTAATCAGGTGCTCCTTCCATAATTACATTTTCACTTACAATGATGGCAAAAACTATTTACCATGTTACTACAAAACAGTTACTGTGCAACTACCATTGCTGTCAATGGACCTTATTCACGGGTGCTGGAATTATATTTTCAAAGTCAGGCTTGGTGAACAGGGACCCAAGAAATCCAGAAAAGGATTAATTTATCTGATTCACTTTTCTTACACTACTCCATTTCTTCCAATTTAGGTCCACCTGGGTGTATACACTCAGGGATTGATTCACTAGTTACCTCAGTAATATGCATATAATTTTATTTCATCAATATACCTAATATACTGTACCAATGTTTGGTATTTTGCTAGAAATTGAAATCTGCATCCATTCCTGAGGTTACAAATGAAAAGGCACAATGCGCAGTTAATGCTCAGTGCTCCTTTATAATGTCATCAGTAACTCAGTACTGAAAATGATGACCCTCTAAATGAGTCATTTCCACACCAAGAGCCAGAATACCTATTTCATGGGAAAACTTGTGGGAAGGAGATGGAGAAGAAATTCCAAGGAGAACAGATTATGTTCCGGACATGTGGTTTGTTCCTATTCCCTACAGACTGAACAAAGAGTTCAGAACCCATAAATCTCCTGGGTCTGCTAGAGATTAGGGTTGTCCTTGAAGAGGCCCTTTGCGTTCATCTGCTCCAGTACTGTCTGCTTTCCTGGCTGACAGCTATCCTCAGAATTCCTCATAAAGGGAGTTCAAAGGGAATGGTGTCCCTAGCCTCTGTTTGTCAGAGGGTGGGGATGGACGGGAGGAAAGAGATCACTTGATCATTGCCCTTTAGGTTCACTCCCTCTGGGGCACCTGGCATTGGCCACTGTCGGCAGACAGAATGCTTGGCTGGATGGACCCTTGTTCTGACCCAGTATGGCCATTCTTATGTTCTTAAAGTAAGGAGAGGCTTCATGGGGATAGAGGATATGGTGTCACTCCTTGCCTTCTGGTGGGAAATTGGTGCAGGGAGCGAGCGTCCCTTCCACATGCAAACTCCAAAGCACTATGTACAGTTTCATGAATTTGTGCCCCAACTATACGAGCATATAGTTCTGTTACAGAGATCTAAGCAGGAATGGGAGGAATATCTTCAGCAAGATTTTCAGTTTCATTGAAAAGCAATGGGCCAAAATTTGGGAGGATACTTTGGAAGTCTCTAAGCTTTCAAAATTAAACAACTTAAAATATACTCCTCACACAGTCACATGGCTAAATGGACGGGTCCCTGGGTAGTGTTCTGGTGATGTGGGGAAATTTTCAGGTCCACACATGCCCCCTGTAGGGTTTATGGGAGCTCAATAGCACTGGAAAAGGTGATTGTCTGAAGAAATCTGTAGAAACAGAGTTGGCAGATATCCTGGAACTTCGCATAACGAGGTACCGCAAAGATCAATTTATAAAACAGCAGTGTTAGGCCTGTAGTCCCTAGCTCTTTCTATCAACACAGAGTTTACACTGTGGAATTCATGAAGACCCCCTTGACTAGGGGTCTATTCATATAGTAGAATGATGAAAGGTACCTTGCAGTTAGCAAAGAATGATACCAGGAACTAGCAGACTTCAACTCTACAACTTAAGGAGGTCAGAACTGGGATACAAAACTGCTTCACAGAAGTGTGCCTGTGCTGCAAGGGTCATTATTTTTCCATATGCATGTAGTCCAGTATTTGTAAGACTTATAATAAATTATTAGCAACACTAAGGTTTGTTACTATGAAAACAATAGTTACTGCAACTTTTTGCAGTAGCTCAGAGAACAACCATGATGCCACTCTATTCCCTATCCATTTACAGAGGAACATTATTTCTCAAAGGTTTTAATATTTATTTCCTATGAAGCATTGCATTTAAAAAAATCTATAGTAGTGGGTGATCATGAAATAAAGTGTATTTGGTACGCCAAGCAATTTTCTGATAAAAGAACATCATACTGACAAGGTGGGTGAGATAATATCTTCTATTGGACCAACTTCTTCTGGTGAGAGAGACAAGCTTTTGAACTTACACAGAACTCTTCTTCAGCTCTATATAATCTCAAAAGCTTGTCTCTCTCACCAACAGAAGTTGGCCCAATAAAAGATATTACCCTCACCCACTCTGTCTCCCTAATATCCTGGGACCAGCATGGCTACAACAACACTGCATCATGTCTGTTAATCAGAATGATATGCACTCTTTTAAACCAACACATTTTTTGTAGGTCGATTTGGTTAAATATTTTCAATTAACCGACTCTGAAATAACTGAAAAAATAATACAGACATCAGTCCTTAAGATATAGGCACAGCTATTTGTGAAGGCACATTCCCTACACAACATCCCAAATTTTAATTACTGATCACAAAGAAGGGGAAAACTATGTAAATATTAGTTCACTGCTATCATGCCAGAAATGGCTGAACGGGTCCTGGATATGTTTGTAGATTTTTTTTTACCTTTTAATTAATTGAAAACATTTTGTTTTAAAAGGCACATGGATATTTAGTTTCATATGGCACTGAGGGAAAAGTCAGTTTCCCATTTTATGAATCTTTGAAATTCTGTCCTGTACCAAGGCACTGCATTCTTTCTTAAGATTTCCTTTCTTTACAGTTTAAAGCCTTTTTCATTGTATCTATGAATAGTCACACAGCCATGATACGATACTGGCCTGGGCATGGCTGCTACTCCCGTGATGATGCCTGTTGCAGGATCATAACAAAGAATAGTGTCTGTGGCTTCTCCATTTTCTCGTCTTCCACCAAGGATATAGATTTTGCCGTTACACACAGACATGCCACAGTTTTCCTGTTTATCAAATACACAAACAAATACATGACTATTTACAAAACCCAAATCCTATTCAAGGTTGGAGAGATAGTACAGCATTTTGACTACCAAAAGGAGATAGCTCGGTGCTATATTACTTCCTTCTGATGCTGCCCACTGGAGAAAGCAGGATACTGCTCCTCTGGGTCAACCCGGGGGAAGTAGCAGCATGATAATCCTGAAGACTTGGGCTATTCAGGCATCAGGCTACGAGGGGTTGAAGCAGCTAAGTATGGCTGATTCAGACACTATACATGAGATATCCAGCGTTTGGGGATAGTACAATTAAGCAGCTAAGATAAGAAAACGGTGGAGAGAATAGAGGGACTGAAAGAAGAGAGAAAAGTGGAAAGACTAAATGTAACAAATGTGGACTGGGAACAGGGAGAGAGGTTAAGGGAACAGAAGTAGGTAACAATTAGTGGTTAGAAAAAAGGAAAGGAAGACAGAGCTAGGGATAAAGTAAATAAGAGACAAAGAAAGGAAATGCTGGGTTCTAGAGGAAAAAAGGGAGGCTAGGAGTTATTTTGTCCTAAAGGAGAGACAGAAAGAGGGAGTCAAAGCAAAAACACTATGCAGAAAATGGTAAAAGGAAGAGATGGAAAGTGGGGAGAAGGGGCAGAAGCAGATCTCTTTGAGGGCATTTCCCCCTCCATTTTATAGTGTTTCATTAGTAGATTTTCAAAAAACATGGTGAAATTTATTGCTATAGGATGACATACAAATAGTATCCCAAGGGGAAGGGCACACACAGAAATTCTGTTCAGAAGGCTCATTCACACATTGCTGTGACACTGCTCTCTGCTGCTTTTAGTTCTACACAGACCAGTTTCATGCTCTGTTTAAAACATTTTCCTACAACATTTTGTAGTTCTAATCAATTTCAAGGAAACAATATTTTGACTAAACAAAAGGATCCAATTGAATTTAGTATAAATCCATGTTTGGATGTGTTAAATTGGGGTAGTGGTTTCCAATAAGAAGACTGCCCATTCTAACATATTGGCGCTCACCTGAAGTGTTACTTTTAGTTGTTTCACGGTTTGTTTTTGAGTGTCTAGACTATAAAGAGTAAGGAAATGATTTTGCCATGGAGGTCATGAATTCTGTGACTTTAACAGACCTCCATGACTTCCTTGGCTTCAGCCCCCACCAGAGCAGCAGGGCTGAAGCAGCTATCTGGCCCTGCTGCAGGAACAGCGCTAGGGCTGGAGCAGCAGCTAGGGTGGACTTCAGGGCTGGAGCAGCCACAGGGGCTGGAGCAGTGGCTGGGTATGGAACAGAGGCCAGGACTGGGTCCTGGGCTGAAGCAGTCGCCTGGGCTGAAGCAGCAGCTGGGGCTGGAGCAGCTGCCCAGACTAGAGCAGTGGCCAGGGCTGGTTCAGCCCCCAGGGGCCAGAGCAGTGGCCGGGGCTGGAGCTGTGGCCGGTGTTGGAAAGTCAAGGTCAGGTTGTGGGCTTCCGTGACTTTTTGTTTATTGCCCACGACCTGTCCATGATTTTTACTAAAAATACCCATGGCAAAAATCTTAACCTTAATAAATGAAAAGCTAAAACTAGCGGATCTGAGAGATGTAATTTAACAGAGTTTCATATCAAATGCATTTCATATCAAATTATTAATACAAGGAAAATAAAATACATTTTTAGACGTTTCCAATTATTTTTAGTGTTTATTACCTGTCTGCTGAATGTATTCTGTACATGCATCCAATAATCCTCAACTGGATCATAGCAGTAAATTGCCTTGGTGAGCCCTCCCGCGACATAGATTAGATTGTTTAGAGATACAGCTGTTATGCATCTCTTTGCAATGGGGATAGTTGCACGGAGCAACCAAGAATTAGTATCGGGATCATATGATTGAACCTGAAAACAAGTAAACACATTTTAGGTTTAACACCACAATTGAACAAAAATCAAACCTATTATCTGAGGTACATACAGAAGTTTTGATTCAAAGAGATTAAAGATAACAGTATCTATTTGTATCAGAGAGGTAGCCGTGTTAGTCTGGATCTGTAAAAAGCAACAGAGTCCTGTGGCACCTTATAGACTAACAGACGTATTGGAGCATAAGCTTTCGTGGGTGACGAAGTGGGTATTCAATACGTCTGTTAGTCTATAAGGTGCCACAGGACTCTTTGTTGCTTTTTACAGTATCTATTTGGACTGCCTCACAAAAAACCCAAAGTAACTCAAGATATTGCTATGTCAAAAACATACACCTTGTTCCTGCAGTACATCTGCAACATTAAAAACAAAAAATATTAAACAGCAGCAACTTACATAATAAATTATATAGTATATTACATTATTTACTTAAATATGCTGTTTCATTAAGAACTTGTATGGCTCTTAATACACAAAGCGAAAGATGATGTGACTACGACAAAGACTGTATTAATGGCATAACTGTGCTTTATTTAGTTAGCTTTTTCTACTGTGAGATATATACTTTGCATTCAGGCAATAAACTGGGCCAGGAGATATGTAATTCAGTTGAAAAATCTCTCTGTATAACTTACATTTTTAGCAGTATTATTAAGATACGTAGAAAGGAAATAAATATAGTTAACTAACCTTGTCAGAGCACGTGTTGTCATCAGGACCTCCACCAATCACAAACAATTTGCCTACACAGCTGGTTATTGCTGGAGAACTCACTGCTTCTTTAAGTGGAGCTACCTCTGTCCATCGATTGGAAAATGAATCGTAACATTCTACACTGCTGAGTCGACTTTGCCCATCATACCCTCCAACTACATACACCTATGCAAAACAAAGAGAAAATAGCATCTTCTTTATCTTTATCTCCAGTTTTAATTAAGCAAGTATAGGATTAAACTCATTCAAAGCTTCAGTGCCTCAGTTCTGATTTGCTATATTTTTGAATGCATAGGTTTTCCCCCCAGAACGCTTCTATGCAGAAGAACAGGAATATTGCCTTTTAAGATTCTGAGCTAAAGAATCTCAAGAGAGCAGCCATACATTGGTATGTGGGGATACTGGAGTCAATGGACACCTGAACATATGTTACAAATATGGACATTAGATTTCCTTCTTACTTGAACATGCTCTATAAGAAATCTCTATGATTATCTTCACTGATATTATAAATTATATTCAGAAATAAAAAGAAACTCTATTTAACTTAACCCTGTTCTCCTCAACTTTTTACTTCTCTCTTTCCTGTCTAAAATGACATTCTTTACTCTGATTTACTTTTTGGTCATGTATTTTCTTACCTGGCTGCCTATCACATAAGTTACAGTTTAAGAAAAAGAGACTCACAAATATATTACCATTAGCATATTGACAGATATACTGTCTCTGCTCAATTTGCTCACCTCAGGTCAATCCCAACTTGAAGCAGGTGCTGTTATCTCTAAGAAGCTACATACTACAGTTTCCTGATAAGTGTATATATCACCACTCACGCTCATGAATGAAACCTTTGGGGATCCCCGATCTCATTTATTGTATTTGTGTAGAATAATAAAATAAGCCTTTGGAAATGCAGCAAGAATAAGAGTTTCTTTACTCATTTATATTTTGATTTAAATGTTCAATATACATGCAGATTATTAAATAAAAAGGCCCAGATATTCTGCTAAAGTCACAATCAATTTGAGTTAGTGGCTGCATAAGTGAAGGATTTGCAGATAAAAGATGTCTAAGGCCCAGTTTTATTTTATGTACCAAATCATTGTTGGATACATGCTTAACCTGTGTGTTTATGAAGAGGTGTAATTTGCTGCTCATTTGTAGCCATAACATTTATCTCCTTTTAGATCTTCTACAATGTACCAGAGCAGCGCTCCATTGCAAAGAAACAAACAAACAAACAAAAAAAACGGTTACTCACCTTCTTGTAACTGTTGTTCTTTGAGATGTGTTGTTCATGTCCATTCCAATCAGGTGTGTGTGCACCATGTGCACAGTCATCAGAAAGTTTTCCCTTAGCAGCTGACCCTTGGGTCAGTTGTGGAGCCCCCTGGAGTGGCGCCTTCATGGCGCTCAATATATGACCCTGCCGACCCAGTCCCTCCTCGATTCCTTCTTGCCGGCTACTCCGACAGAGGGGTAGGAGGGTGGGTATAGGAATGGACATGAACAACACATCTTCAAGAACAACAGTTACGAGAAGGTGAGTAACCATTTTTTCTTCTTCGAGTGCTCGTTCATGTCAATTCCAATCAGGTGACTCCCAAGCTCCAACCCAGAGGTGGGGTCGGAGTTAAGGAAACGCTGATTGGAGCACCACACTGCTGAATGCTGCATCATCTCTGGCGTGCTGGGTAATAGCATAATGAGCGGTGAACGTATGCACCGAGGACCACGTTGCTTCCCTGCAAATTTCTTGTATCGGGACCTGGGCCAGGAACGCCATTGATGAGGCCTGTGCCCTCGTGGAATGTGTCGTAAGTGCCCGGGCTGGGACCTTGGCCAGCTTGTAGCATGTGCAGATGCAAGACGTGATCCAGGAAGATATTCTTTGAGATGAGACCGGGAGTCCTTTCATCCGGTCTGCTATCGCTACAAAGAGCTGGTTCGATTTCCTGAACGGCTTAGTGTGCTCGATGTAGAATGCTAGTGCTCACCAAACATCCAATGAGTATAGCCTCTGCTTTCAACTACTGGCATGAGGCTTAGGATAGAAGACAGGTAGAAAAATGTCTTGGCTAGTATGAAAAAGTGACACTACCTTGGGAAGAAAGGCTGGGTGAGGCCCGAGTTGCACCTTATCCTAGTGGAAGATCGTGTAGGGTGGATCGGAGGTAAGAGCCTTTAGCTCTGACACTCTCCTAGCTGATGTGATGGCCACCAGGAAGTCTACCTTCCACGACAGATAGAGAAGGGAGCAAATCGTTATTGGCTCAAAAGGGGGCCCCATTAATTTGGAGAGGACAAGATTGAGGTCTCACACTGGGACAGGCTGTCTGGTCTGAGGATGTAGGCGTTCCAAACACTTGAGGAAACGGCCTACCATGGGGTTAGCAAATACCGATCGGCCAGACGCTCCTGGGTCGAAGGCTGAGATAGCAGCGAGCTGTACTTTGATGGATGACGCTGCCAGTCCTTGTTGTTTCAGGTACAGAAAGTACTCTAGAATGAGTGGCATAGATGCCTGTAGTGGAGGTGTATGCTGCTGGGCACACCAGCAAGTGAACCTTTTCCACTTAGCTAGATATGTTGCTCTAGTAGATGGTTTCCTACTGCCAAGTAGGACCTCCCTTACTGGTTCTGAGTACAGAAGCTCCATGGGGTTTAACCATGAAGCTTCCAGGCTGTGAGATGGAGGGACTGGAAGTCCAGGTGGTGAAGGTGACCATGGTCCCGAGTGATCAGATCGGGATGCAGTGGTAACTCGATTAGAGTGTCCACATACAGTTCCAGGAGCGTGCTTGCGTACCATTGTTGTCAGGGCCACGCTAGGGCCACCAGAATTACCTCCGCTCTGTCCCTGCAGACCTTGAGAAGTACCTTGTGCATGAGAGGGATCGGGCAAAAGGCATACAACAGGTGGCCTCCCCAGGGAAGCAGAAACGTGTCCGTGATTGAGCCAGGACAGCGATGCTGGAAGGAGCAGAACATTGGACACCTCCTGTTGTTCCTGGTGGTGAACAGGTCGACCTGGGGAAACCCCCACCCTTGGAAGATGGAGTGTATGACATCCGGACAGATGGACTACTCGTGATTTCGGAACGATCTGCTGAGGTGGTCTGCTAGTTTGTTCTGCACTCCTGGGAGATAGGATGCCTCCAGGTAAATGGAGTGGGCTATGCAGAACTCCCATAGCTGGAGGGGTTCTCGACATAGGGGGGAGGAACAGGCTCCATCCTGCTTGTTGATGTAAAACATGGCAGTGGTGTTGTCCATCATCACTACCATGCACTGACCTCGTAGCTGGGCCCGCAAGGTTTGGCATGCTAACCATACTGCCCTGAGCTTCTTGTTGTTGATATGAAGGGGAAGCTCCTCCTGTGACCTGTATTTGTAGGTCTTCCAAATGGGCGCCCCATCCCAGAGCTGATGCGTCTGTTACAAGGGAAAAGGAGGGCTGGGGGCTGTTGAATGGAACTCCCTCGCAGACTGCCCAGGGTTTGAGCCACCACTGGAGGGACTCGAGTACTTGCTCTGGTACCATGACCACTACATCCAGACTGTTGCGTCCCGGGCGGTAGGCCGAAGTGAGCCACGCCTGGAGTGGCCTGAGCTTCAATCTGGCATGGTGGACCATGTAAATGTAGGCTGCCATGTGGCTGAGGAGACTCAGGCACCCCTTGCTGTGGTGGTCGGGAATTGCCTGAGGCCTTGAATAATGTCTGTCATGACCTGGAATCAGGTCTCTGGCAAAAACACTCTTGCCCGTACCGAGTCCAGCAGTGCCCCGATGAACTCTACTCTTTGGGTCAGTGACAAGGTTGACTTGTTCACGTTGAGGAGGAGACCCAGTCTGTTGAAAGTATATCTGACTAATTGGACTTGAGACTCCATGTGCTCCCTGGTGTGGCCCCTGAACAGCCAGTCGTCGAGGTATGGGTATACCTGCACCTGCCTCCTTCGAAGGAAGGCTGCTACGATGGACATGAACTTGGTGAACACTCGGGGGCTGTTGACAGGCTGAAGGGGAGGACTGCAAACTGATAATGTTTTTGGTCGACCACAAACCAGAGAAATCGTCTGTGTGCTGGTCGAATGGCTAAGTGAAAATATGCATCTTTCATGTTGAGGGCAGTGTACTAGTCCCCCAGAGACTATGCAGAACTTCAACTTTATCATTAATTTGTTGAGTCCTCGCAGGTCTAGGATGGGTCTGAGACATCCCTTGGCTTTGGGGATTAGGAAATAAGGGGAATAGAATCCCTTGCCCCTTAGCTCCTGAGGAACCTCCTCCACTGCCCCTGTTGCAACGAGCACTTGCAACTCCTGGATAAGGAGTTGCTCATGTAAAGGGTCCCTGAAAAGGGACGGGGAAGGGACGTGGGAGGGAGGGGAGGAGCAGAATTGGAGAGAATATCCCACTTCTACCATGTAAAGAACCCAGCAGTCCGATGTTATTTGGGACCACGCACGGTAAAAGTGGGATAGCTGATTCATAAAACAGGGGGAAGGATCCAATGTCATAGTGGGTGCGCAGTCCTCGGGCATCCCTTCAAAAGGCCTTTTTAGAGCGAGATGAAGGTTTGCCTATAGCCATGAGTTCCTCCTCATGGCTACTCCTGAGGAAAGGGTGCAGGCAGCTGAGCCTGCTGAGTCCAATGAAGTCTGGAGAGAGGTTCGCGCCACTGCCTTCCCTTCATCAATGATAGCCAAGAACTCAGCTATGGAGTCTGGTGGAATCAGCTCCTTATGCTTCAATATGGAGGCTCACGAGTTGAAGTTGTACCTGCTAAGGATAGCTTGCTGGTTAGCTATCCTCGGCTGTAGGCCCCCAGTTGTGTAGATTTTCCTGCCAAAAAGGTCCATCCTTTTCGACTCCTTGGATTTAGGGGCCGATCCTTGCTGCCCCTGTCTTTCTTTCTCATTCACTGCCGATACCACGAGAGAGCATGGTTGCAGGTGAGAGAACAGGTATTCCTATCCCTTGGAGGGAACGGAGTACTTGCGCTCTACCCGCCTGGCGGTGGGCAGGATTGAGGCAGGAATCTGCCACAGAGTCTTCATATTGCTCTGGATAGTTTTTATTAGTGACAGAGCTACCCTGGACAGTCCCTCTGGTGCAAGGATGTCGACCACGGGGACTTCGGGTTTGACCACCTCCTCCGCCTGTAACTCCATGTTACAGGCAGTCCTTCGTAGAAGGTCCTGGTGGGCCCTGTGGTCAATTGGGAAAGGGTCCGAGGTTGAAGCTCCCGCCACCACTTCATCTGAAGATGAAGATGAGGAGATCAGAGCTGGTACAGAGTCCTCCTGACCCTCTGACTCCCTGATCTCCTCCTGTTCAGCCTCTGGGGCCTTTGTGGCAACCATAGCCTGGCCTTGCAATGGGTTATGCCTCAGAGTTGCCTTGGTGGCGATCTGCGCCAGCTGTGGGGCTTGTGCCAAGGTCGCCTCGGAACCACGGGGCATAGGCTGATCTTTGGCTGGGGTGATTGGTGCTCCGAGGCCACCAAACGGGAGCCCTGGGCCTGATGGTAAGCCCAGGGGGTCCAAAAAGGCCATTGCACCGGAGGCTGCCACTGGGGTTGCCATGCCATTGGTGCCTCCCTCCGTTGCTTGTCGGATCTATGCCTGCTGCGAAAGGAATAGTACGAGTCACCATCTGAGTTCGAAGACACGGATCTCGACTGAGATGACCATGGTGGTGCCGCATGATACTGTGCTGGGAACCTGTGCCGATGATGCAGGGGACAGGTGTCGAGATGCCTGGGACAGGGACCGATACCGGGAATCTGGCGTCAGGGACCGGTGTCGAGGGTCCAGTGCCAAGGGACCGGTGCTGAGAGTCGGTTCCAGTTCTCTCTTGGAGCCAGGGATTGCTGCTGCTCCCTCGTTGGTGCCGGGCAGGAGAGGGAGACCGCCACATCATGGCCAGCTTGCCTCTAGATGGCGATGGTTGCGGTGACACCGGGGGCTTATGTCTGATCACTGGGGGCTGAGGAGTCATCATCACTGTTAAGTCTCTGGTGGCTTCAAACGTGTCTGGGGTGGAGGGTAACTCCAACTCCTCCACCTGGCACTGCCCATCCTGGGAGTCGCTGTACACCAGACTCGACAGTCCCATCGTGGTAACTGAAGTTGACTGCACCCACTCTTGCTGCCTGGATGCCGAGGGCTCCTTCATGGGACGCCCTGGTACCGCGCCTGCAGATCCCGTTGTTTTCTGCACGGGGAACGCCCTCTGTCGGCTTTTCTATACCGCTTGTACGGCACTGGTGAATGCGAGCGGTGCTGGGTTGTCTTTGCATCCTGCAGTGCCAGAAAGCGCTGGTGCCGAAGGTCTCTTAGACTAGAGTCCTTCCTCGGCACTGTGTCACGTACCGATGCCGGGGCGGTCCGCAGTAGACTGGGGATGAAGGGTGGATTCCATAAGTAACTGCCTCAATCAGAAATCTCGCTCCTTTTTAGTTCTGGGGCGGAAAGCCCTGCAGATCTTGCGCCTTTCTGTCTGGTGTGCCTCCCCCAGACACTTCAGACATGAGTTGTGGGGGTCGCTTGCTGGTATAGGCTTGCTGCAGGTTCCGCAGGGTTTAAAGCCTTGAGCTCACGGCATGCCCTGGAGCCCAAAGGGGGGTGGGAGGGAAGGGGAGGTTTGGTGATTGGGGAAACCCCGCTCCCAAACCTCACTATATGCAATATATACACTAACAATTAAGACTAACTACAACTAAACTAGGCTACGCTAACTATATGAAGGAACTCTAAGGGAAGCACTTGCTAAGCAAGCAACTGCTGTTCCAAAGACCGTCACTGGTGGTAAGAAGGAACTGAGGAGGGGCCGGGTCGGCAGGGTCATATATTGAGCGCCATGAAGGTGTCACTCCAGGGGTCTCCACAGCCGACCCAACGGGAGCCGCTAAGGGAAAACTTTCAGACGACTGTGCATGCGGCGCGCACACACCTGATTGGAATTGACATGAATAAGCACTCGAAGAAGAATCAAAAGTTAGGAAACATCAGTTTAACTTCTATGGACACTGCCAACCTGACTGAGCCCATAATTCATTGGTTATTAAAAGCAATAGGAGTTGATGGGGAATGCAGTCTAACTCTAAATAGTTACACCTGGTTTTACATTTAAGTTTTGCTTATATTTGGGAAATGTATTAGCTACAATAAGTAATGAATTATTTCTCTTACTTTACCAAGAAGGACAGCCATTTTATGACGCCATCTGCCTTTGTTTAGGGAAGCAACTCTGATCCAAATGTTAAGCTGAGAGTTATAAATCCACACATCACGGCTGTTAATTCTTCCACCTTTAAAATTATGAAAAAAGACAGAAAAAAAACCAATGTCTCTTTGACTAAGGAAGTTATTAAATAAGAGGTGCTGGATACTGACATACGCCTCTGCAGTAGACCACGGAAAATGTCACATCCTATACATCTGATGTAGACTCATCTGTGATTATATAAATTTAAGTAGATAGAGGTTTTCAGATGTTCTTGGTCACCGTGTAGAGGAAGTGCATCTCTTATGAAGTATAGTCTCCCAAAACAATAATCTCTTCCAATCGATTCCCCCAAAATACCATCTACCATAATGATCTACACCAGTCTTCTCCCAACCCTCTACAAAGTACAATCTTCCATGATCTATCTCAGATAAGGCACCTATCACTGTGGTATCTTCATGCTGTACAAAAATTGGAGAGATCTGTTTCCTAGATAACAATTTTCAAAGCCTCCTGTTTCTGATATGCATGTTTGTTTGCTCTTGCCTTCTATTTGCTAGTTGTTGGTTGTTCCTTAGAAGATGTCACTGCTGGAGAAAAGTCTAATCAAAGAGGCAAGGCTTGCATTCTAATCTAAATAACCACTTTCCTCCACTTTAAGACAACAGATCCTTTGTTAATTATAACTTAGACTGAAAGAATTCTAATAAATCTCTCAAAAGATAATTAACACTAAAAAGTAATGTTTTTCTCTTAATTGTTAAGTCAGTATTGAGAAGGATATTATCAGCTATTTTTGACACTGGATCTCATTCTGTTGTCTCATAAAACATTATATTTAAACAAGGCAGTTGTTCAGAAGTAGACTGAGAGGTAGACTCAGCAAACATCATTCTCGGATGTATTAGCAGGAGTATTGTAAGCAAGACACAAGAAGTAATTCTTCCACTCTACTCCGCGCTGATTAGACCTCAAATGGAGTATTGTGTCCAGTTCTGGGAGACACATTTCAGGAAAGATGTGGACAAACTGGAGAAAGTTCAGAGAAGAGGAACAAAAATGATTAAAGGTCTAGAAAACACGATCTATGAGGGAGGATTGAAAAAATTGGGTTTGTTTAGTCTGGAAAAGAGAAGACTGAGAGGGGACATGATAATAGTTTTCAAGTACATAAAAAGTTGTTACAAGGAGGAGGGAGAAGAATTGTTCTTCTTAACCTCTGAGGATAGGACAAGAAGCAATGGGCTTAAATTGCAGCAAAGGAGGTTGTAGAATCTCCATCATTGGAGATTTTTAAGAGCAGCTTAGACAAACACCTGTCAAAGATGGTCTAATACTTAGTCCTGCCATGAGTGCAGGGGACTGGATTAGATGACCTCTTGAGGTCCCTTCTAGTTCTATGATTCTAAGAAATGCTAATATTAATTAATATTTTCAAACATGAAAATACACGAGAAATACATCCCATTGTGCAAACCTTTCAGAATAACACGCTGAGCAAAATACATACATTTTTGTGATAAGACATTACACTAACAGTTTTTTTAATGTTGGGAAATATTTCAATGACTTTTTCCACACTCTTTAGACTTCTTTGAGCACCACTGCATGGATGAGCCACTGGAAAGGAAATCTCTAAGATTTATATGCTATGAGGCATGTACATAACACAGGCTGTTTTCCTCTACATGGTTCATGCATATGTCCCCCTCTCAGTTCCACTGTCTGTCTGCTGAAATGAGAAAGATATTTTACATTTGGGAAGATAGTCATTTTGAGGCAGGGTGGATAAAAATAAATGATTTAAAAAAAATTGGATTTTTTTTATTTAAATCGGATTTTTTTGATAAAATGCTTTTTGAGGAAAAAAACTATCTAAAGATAGTTTTAATTAAGATACATTATAGCTCAAACATATCTCATCATGAAATAGGGGTTATAAATTCTAATTCTATAATATGAGGGATAGCTCAGTGGTTTGAGCATTAGCCTGCTAAACCCAGGGTTGTGAGTTTAATCCTTGAGGGGGCCATTTAGGGAACTGGGGTAAAAATCGGTCTGGGGATTAGTCCTGCTTTGAGCAGGGGGTTGGACTAGATGACCTCCTGAGGCCCCTTCCACCCCTGATATTCTATGAAGTGTTTTGTAAATGAGTTCCAATAGTTCATGGATTAGGGACCCAATCTTATGGGGTTCCATGGGCTTCTGTATAGATTATTTTGGTTAATCTTTCTATCTACCCAAGGGACTCAGTGCTCAGTCTAGAAGATACCATCAGAGATGCTTAGTTTTGCAGTTCTCAAACTGTGGATTTGTGTCTCCAGAGATAACATGCTTGTTAACAGCAAAAATGTTTTTAAATAAAATAAATAAATTTTATTTAAATAAATAAAAATAACAGACCTCAACTCTATTGTCCCTCTGCAAATTTGAGTACACAGAGTCAATCCCTTACCTCTCTCTAAAAGTGAAAAGTTTCAAAAAGTTCAATGAATAGAAGATTGTTGGGGGCGGAATAGATCTGGACAAGGAGAAGAAGTCTGGAGATAAATGTGAAAAGGGAGGGACAGGCAGTAGAAACAAAAGTGAAACTGCTTGAGCAGCATATTCCAGAAGTCTTGGGGTCTTTCTGAGTGTAGCCTTCACTGATTTGAGATCTACCATACCATTCTCTCATTAGAAGGGAAAACCTATAATGGCAGCAGGTCGTAAAAGAGACCCAGTTTGGGAATATTTTAATGAAGTTCCTCTACCTGTGGGTAAGACAGGCATGTGTGCAAAATGCAAACAGCGCAACAAAGAAATGCAAGGCCTGGTTGCCCGAATGAAACAACATCATGAGAAGTGTTCCTTCTCAGGAGGAAGCTGTGTTGAAGATGATGAAAGCAACATGTCTGAACACGCAGGATCTTCAGGTTGGTAAACTTTTTTGTTTCATACTTCTTTCTTAAGGACTGCCTGTCTTCCTTCTGGACTATTCTTGAATTTTCATGTTTGAGCAAAAAATATAGTTGTTACTCTATGGTACTATCATTTTAGATGCAGTTGTGATAAAAAAAATAAATAACTGAAATAGGCAGATCTTCCTTTTACAATTTCACCTTTAAAGTAGTACTGAGTGTCAGTGAATGCAATGAGTAATACTAAATGAGCAGTATGGTAATAATAATAAAATAACTGCATTGCCTTATTTCGTTTAGGAGAATCCATCCTCAACATACAGGATTCTGAAGACTATCCATCTTCAAGATCACCATCATTTTCTATAGTTTCAGAGTTATCTGCCAATGATAGTGTTTCAGTCACATCATGTATGTCACATAGCCACAGTATATCACCTGTAGCAAAAAGAAAAAAAAACTCCATCATGCAGAAACAACCAAACATGAGTTTGTGATAAGAACCAGCAGATTACAAAAAGAGGTAATTGATGAAAAAAATGCCCGGTTTGTTTATGCAACAAACTCTCCTTTCCGTATGATTGAGAACCCACACTTCATTAACATGGTTCAGTCATTAAGACCAGGATGCAGTCCACCCAACAGAGCAGATGTCGCAGGCAAATTGCTGAATAAAGTGTATGAAAGAGAAATTGAACAGTGTGCAAAAGGTCTAGAGAGTGAAATTGTTAACCTGAGTCTTGATGGGTGGAGCAATGTCCACAATGATCCTGTTGTATGTGCTTGTGTGACAATGGAAGAAGGGAATGTCTTCCGTTCAGAACAATTGATACATCAGGAAATGCACACACAGCAGAATACTTACAAGAAGTAGCAGTAAAAGCTAGAACAAACTGAAAAAAAATTCAAATGTCTAGTACACAGCTTTGGTCACAGACAATGCTGTAAATGTATCCAAGAGGAGAAGAAATTTAGAAGAGACTGAAGAGAGTCCCAAGATAATAACATACGGTTGCAGTGCTCATTTGATGCACCTCCTAGCCAAAGACTTCAGTGTTCCAGAAATAAAGGCTAATGTTGTTCCGTAACAACCACTTTGCAGCAGCTGCTCTGAAAAAAGTGGGAGGAACCAAGCTAATTCTCCCACAAGACATGCGATGGAACTCAGTAGTGGACTGTTTTGAGCACTATATCAAGAACTGGCCTAATCTGATGACAGTTTGTGAACAAAATAGTGAAAAAATAGATGGCACTGTCACAGCCAAAGTTCTCAACATTAGGCTTAAGAGAAATGTTGAACACGTACTGAGTACCCTGAAGCCTATTTCTGTAGCCTTGAACAAAATGCAGAGAAATAGCTGTTTTATTGCTGGCGCTGTTGAAATTTGGAAGGAACTGAGTGAGATCTTAAAAAGAGAAATATGCAATGACAGTTAAATTACAAGCATTAAAAAAACAAATGGGACAAGCACTAGCTCCAGCTCATTTTCTTGCAAATATTCTCAATACTCAGTACCACAGTCAAACCTTAACAACTGAACAAGAGGAGTTGGCTATGACATAGACATCCAGCAATCATAATGCCATAATGCCAACTATAATAAACTTCAGAGCTACGAGTGAACCATTCAAGAAATATATGTTTGTTGATGATGTTTTAAAGAAAGTCACACCAGTGAACTGGTGGAAGTCACTAAAGCACTTGGATTCAGAGACTGTTGAAGTGATAATCTCACTTTTAACAGCAGTAACTTCTTCTGCCGGTGTAGAAAGAATATTTTCTTCCTTTGCACTAATTCATTCCAAACTGATAAATCGTTTGGGACCTGAAAAAGCAGGAAAGCTTGTTTTTCTTTTCCAGATTATGAACAAACAAGAAAATGAAGATGAAGACGACCGAGTTAGCTGCAGAAGTCAATATTTTAAGTTGCTGACCTGGCTGACATAGTCGATTTAATTTTTTTAAAAAAATATTTCATTTAACTATTTTAGCTAAACAATTTTAACAAAAACAAACCTGATCTTAAAAAACTTGAATGTTTAACTAAATTCAAAAATTCATATGCTTGTTTTGTTAAAATATTATATGTTTGCTGTTGAAGAAAAAAATCCAGAATACATAACACTGTTGTTTTAGTTAAATGAAACAATTTAAATGTCTGTCTGGTGATGTTCCCCTCCTAATACAGCATGGAAAGAAAATCCTCCAAATATTAATGATTAACCTGTTGAATTGGAGATAGTTCACCTCCCAATGACTTCATAAATATCTGCTTCAACTACCTTTGGTAAATGAAATAACCAAACAATCATTCATTTTCTGATATACCTGTAAAACTCATCTGAAAAGTTTTCAAAATAAATCACTTTAAAAATGTATAGTGTGTACCTTCTAAAAATGAAATCTACATCTATCTCTGAGTTGTGAAGAATATGTATTAAGGTTATAACAACCAGGGCCGGCTCCAGGGTTTTGGCCGCCCCAAGCAGCCAAACAAACAAACAAAAAAAGCCGCGATCGCGATCTGTGGCAGCAATTCGGCGGGAGGTCCTTCGCTCCGAGCAGGAGTGAGGGACTGTCCACTGAATTGCCGCCGAACAGCTGGACGTGCCGCCCCTCTCCGAAGTGGCCGCCCCAAGCACCTGCTTGGTAAGCTGGTGCCTGGAGCCGGCCCTGATAACAACAACAAGAATGCACTTTTATGCAGAAATCCATGATTAAATCGAGTCTTCCTGACTAGTGATTTAAATCATGATTTAAATCAATTTGATTTAAATCAAATCCACCCTGCTTTGAGGTAACAAACAAATGTAATGGGGGGAGATAGATAGTTCCAGGACAGGAGTTAGTATCCAGCTAAGTCTGTCACCATTGGTCCAGATGACAGACATGGACCCAAATAACTAATCTTTTTGTCTAAACTTGAGAGGTGCTGAGCATCTACAGCCACTGACTTCAGTGGGAGATGCAGGTGCTCAGCACCTTCAGGTCAGGATTTAAGAAGGGTGAGGTATTTGCCTCTACTCTGCATTTCTATGCTGAAAAAAGGTTTGATCTGTTTTCACTGCAGAACCTGAGCACTAATATTTAAAAGCTGCATACTTAACCGGTATGGAGGAGGACATATTGGATTGTGGGTCAGTTCATACAGTCATTTAGCTCTAAGCTCCACTCATATCAATATTATATCCCCAGACCTCCTTGATGAAATTTCAGTCAGGGCTGTAATTATTAATGATTAAAAACAAAACAATAAGAAAAAAATATTTGTGGCTACCAAATATAGGCATAGGGTTTATGCTCAACACATACTGAGGGAGATGATTTGGTAAGCAACACATAGGCTAGAGGGGGTGAAATTCGTGAAATTTTCATTCCAGCAGCTTCTGGAAGTTCAAAGAGCAACAATCACCTAAAGAACTGTAAATTATCCAAGGATGTTCCTGCTGTCATCACGATGCTTAAGCTTCCTGGAATTATTTACCTGAAACAAGAATATCGTTCCGTAAAGCACACACTGCATATTCAGACTTGGTAAATTCTGGGAGCTTAGCCAGTGACTTCCATTCTCCTGTCACAGGATCGTAGCATTCAGTGTATGGCAGATTAAACCCCCCAACTCGTTCACAGCCTCCGACAATAACTATCACCTCAGAATAACCAGTTGATCTAAAAGAATGAAAACAGAAAGACAAAATAGATGTTTATTAAAGCATATGTAGCAAACAATATCAGCTTGAAAAACAAGCGGGCGACTCTAGTTTGAGAGCCACTGCTGTACACTATTTTAACTACAAATAACTCCATAAGAGCAGATATCTTATTTACTATGACCCAATACTGCAAAAAATCACATTACCTTGTGTCTATAACAACTGCATGACCCGTCACCAACTTTGTTTATAAATGATAAAAGTGCTGTAGGCCTTTATTTAAAACCATACTTTTTTCACATTGTGGGCCACCACAAGTAAAAACTAGCTGATTATTACTGTTCTCTTGTTAAACAAGTAAGTCCTTTTTACTCTAAATATTTTAGAAAAAGCAAAGTCTCAGTTACTCTCTCATAGCTAGTCAAAAAACCCAAAGAAAATTTCCCTTCAGCTGCTCCAACCTTGAAGTGATGTCAGGTCCTGCTTTTTATCTATTTAATGTTTAATGTTTAGTTATCCCATCTTGTTTTTTGAGGAACTAATCTTGGAAAGATATCTCTCAAGGGAGAGAGGGAAGGAACCTTATGAGTCGACGAAGCACTATTCAGAAAAAGAAATTGGTTTCTTTCAACAGCAAGTAATTTGTCTCTCTTACTTTTTCCCCAACAGGCAAACCCAAGTCTATGTACCAAAGATACCTACAAAGGACAAGGTTTGGCTATTGATATTTTTAAAGACTACAATCAAGGCCTTCTGCCAAATGAGGAGCTTGTTGTGCATGATTAAGGCTACATTTTAGTCACGGATATTTTTAGTAAAAGTCATGGACAGGTCATGGGCAGTAAACAAAAATTCACAGCCCATGACCGGTCCATGACTTCTACTATATACCCCTGATTAAACCTTTGGGGGGGGGTGGCCTGGGGGTGCCGTGGGCACTTGGGGGGAGGAAGGGGGTGGCCTGGGGGCACTGCAGGTGCTGGGGTGGGGGTGCGGGCAGCAGCGCGCGGCCCAGGACCCTCGTGGGTGCTGGGGAGGGGGTGAGCAGTGGTGTGTGGCCCAGGACCCCGCTGGTGCTGGGGCGGCGCGGGTAACGGCACGCAGCCCAGGACCCCCGCTGGTGCTGGTGTGGGGACGTGTTGGCGAGGTCGGCAGGCTCCCTACCTGGCTCCACACCTCCCAGAGCCTGCCCGCCTCACCCCGTCCCGTGCCCCAACCCCCTGCTCCTCTCCCAAACCCAAACTCCTCTTGCTGCTGGGGGATGGGGGTGTGGTGGCCTGAGACTGCCCCAGCAGCAGCCGGTACAACTGGCGCAGGGGCACCAACCACTGCAGAAGTCATGGAAGGTCACGGAATCAGTGACTTCTGTGACAAACTCGCAGCCTTATGCATGATTGCCAATCTTTTTTTAAATTAAGAAATAAATGAGCTAATATCCGTGGATCAAAAATACTGCCTGAGAGTGATGATCCATAGTTTTGCTCTCTCTGAAGGAGAATTAATGTACTAAAATATTTTAAATCCAGAACTGGATTTAAAAATAAACAAACCACACCTCTGGATGGTCACATATGTGGAGATTAAGGCCTACTCTACACTAGAAAATTAGGTCAACATAACTACGTCACTTAGGGGTATGAATAATCCACACCCCTGGGTGGCACAGCTAAGCCAACCTAAGTCCCAGGACTTCTGTATACTTGAAATGCTACGGTGGCAGAGCTGTACCACTGCAGCTTTGCTGCTGCATCATGCTGATGGGAGAACCCCTCCCGTTGGCATAGGTAATCCATCTCCCTGAGAGGCAGGACCTAGATTGATAGAAGAATTCTTCCATCGATCTAGCACTATCTACACTGGGGTTAGTTTGGCTTAATGGTGCTGCTCAGGAGTGTGGATTTTTCACACTCTCAAGCAACATAGTTAAGCCGACTTAATTATCTAGTGTAGACCAGGCCTTTGTGTAGACAGCACTAGGCTAGGTCGATGGAAGAATTCTTCCGTCGACCTAGCTACCACCTCTCAAAGAGGTGGATTACCTACATCAAAAGGACAATGCCTCCTGTTGGTATATACAGTCTCAACACTGACGTGCTGCAGCTGTGCCGCTGTAGCATTTCAAGTGCAGACAAGCCCCAAGAGGCAGTACCTAGGTCGACAGAAGAATTTGTCCATTGACCTAGCGCTGTCTACACTAGGTGTTAGGTCAGCTTAACCACACTACACAGAGGGGTGGATTTTTCACACCCAAATCCACCCCTGAGCTACGTAGTTAAGACAACCTAGTTTTCTAGTGTAGACCAGACCTTAGAATTTTTTGCAACTGGGACAGTGTGCCGTCAATAAAGATAATAGGGATCAAGCTAAAAAATAAAGAGGCAGGCACAAAATACAAGTAGGCATAGGCTGTTAACAGCAACAGTTAACTACTGAAATAAAATGCAAATGGAGGTCAGCAGAGCTGTGGTTCTCAAACTGTGGCCTCTGGAGATGACATGGAAGGTGGTCCATGAGATCTCTCTGTCATTACATGGTACCCAAAATAGAAAAAATGGAAAATCACATTACTAAAGTGACATTAAATCCAGTACTTCCACAAAAGAAATTAAAAATCAGATTTCTGATGTACTTCACACAGGAAACTATACAGCTCTCATGACATTATTTGAGGAAGCTGAATGAAACAATATAGACCAACAAATGGCTGCCTGGGTAGAAGTCCTTTAATCAGTTCAAAGAAAATCTGTTCAAAAAAATTAAAAATTTCCACAGACAGAAATTCTGAGGGCTTTTGAAAAAAACCAATAATTTTGTCTGTAAAAACATCCACCATATTTGGATGCTGCATAAAAAATAATAGCCAGCAGTGCAGTAGTTAAATAAAAAGTAAATCACTTAGAGGAAAAAATTACTGAATGCTTACATTTAAAAAAAAAGTAGTTGAGAAGAACTGGTTGAAATGGATAAATATGATAATAACCAATTAAAAGTACATCTTGATATATTTTCATTAGACAGGTCTAGTGGGTCTGTGCACTGAAATAAGCAACAACTGTAAGCCAGTCTAAAGATATTCAAAGCTTATGGTATGCAATTCATATTTTGTTTTAAATACACAGGAGTCCATCCACTAGAACAGGGGTGGGCAAACTTCTTTGGCCTGAGGGCCGCATCTGGGTATGGAAATTGTATGGCGGGCCATGAATACATGGTGGGGGAGGGGGACTCTATGGGGTGTAGCATGGGGGGGCTCTATAAAGGATGTTACCGAGGTGGGGAAGAAGGGACGCATGGGGTGTGGTGCGTGGGGGGGGGGCTCTACAGGGGCGGTACTGGGGACTCCTAGGGGCCCTGCCGGCAGCGGCACCAAGGTGGCCGTACCAGGCACCGCCATGGGCGGAGGCACCCTAGCTGGGACAGGTGGGACCGTAGGAGACCGGGAGGGAATTTGGCATTCTGCCGCCAGGGGCGGGTTCCGATCCCAGAAACAGCACAGTGAAGTTGCGCCTGTGCAGTGTGGCTCTGCGTGCTGGAAGATGGTGCTCATCAAGGGAATTGTGAGCTCCTGGCGGGAGCTTGAGGGCTGTATAAAAACGTCTGATGGGCCGGAAGCAGCCCGAGGGCTGTAGTTTGCCCACCCCTGCACTAGAACAACATGACCACTAGATGTCACTGTGAAGCTTAATGGAGATATGAGAGACGACCTCAAGATGTCAGTGCAACTGTATTCTGTTATCTGGCTCCCACATCGCCACTTTGTTCTACAATGAAAGCTTAGGGCAGGAACAGTCAATAGGCAGACCACAGGCCAAATCCTGACCATCAGAGGCTTTTGAATGGAATTTACTTATTATTATCATTATTGTAGTTCTTTTTATTATTTTTCTTCCCTGGAGTCTGGACCTTGACTATACCTTCACAAAGAAATTTGGGCCTTGACAAAAAATAATTGACCACCCCTGGCATAGGGGCATAAGGGAAAAGAAGGGAGGATCTCAACCCAAGTTTTAAACGTGCAGTGACATCAGACAATTTTTCACTTGCTTCAAATGAACTCAGACCAGAATCCCACTGTTTTTGAACAGCTAGTCAGAAACCAGTTTAAGTACAGAAACATACTGATACATATGCACACACAATCCCAAGAACAGTTCCCAAGAAAAGTTTCAGCAGAAACATTAATTTTGGTATACAGAACTTTCAGTAGGTTCTATGCTTTTTCCTCACTAACAAAGCTTACATAAAAGCAAAGCAGGAGAAAAAAGAGGCAGCAATACATGGCACATAGGGAGGGAATGGGTAAAGGAGCTACCAAAATCCCATTTTAGAAGAAATGAAAGGGGAAAGCATGGAGGAGGCAGGGAGGAATCTGGTAACTGTTACAAAACTTTATCAATTTTTGCAACAGAATCAAATGACACGGAACTATCCCTTGAATTTAATAATAGATACAGGGAAGAATCATCACTGGGGGACTAGCCAGCTTCTCTCTTTATAAATTATTCCTCTTGTTGCTGCATTCATGATTCAGTGTTTAGTTTCTTCTTAAGTTTAGTAACAAAAACCCTGCTCAGAAAACATCTCTGTTAAACATAAGCAGTGGGGTGAAGGTGGGTGTTTCCTTTTTCAGCTAATTCTCCAGTGCAGCATTACACCTAGCCAACTAAGGGCACGTCTTCACTACCCGCCAGACTGGCGGGTAGCAATCGATCTACTGGGGATCGACTTATCGCGTCTAGTGAAGACGCGATAAAATCGATCCCCGATGGCTCTGCTGTCGACTCCGGAAATCCACCGTGGCAAGAGGCGGAAGCGGAGTCGACGGCGGTGCGGCAGCGGTCGACTCGCCGCCATCCTCACAGCCAGGTAAGTCGACCTAAAATACGCAACTTCAGCTACGTTATTCACGTAGCTGAAGTTGCGTATCTTAGGTCGATACCCGCCCCCCCCCGTAGTGTAGACCTAGCCTAACCTTCTCAAGTACCTATGTTATGTTTGGCAGAATTTCCAGGGTTAAACATCTTAGTTTTCCTTCTTTACCATTCCTTCAAGAATGTAATGTTTTTAGCAATTACCTGGGAAGGAAGGTATATGGCAGAATCTAAAAGAAATCTCCATAACCAACAGTTCCCAAAATACCACCCTTGGCATTTTTTCTCATTTCCTACTGTAGCTTACAGTAGCAATTTCCAGTTGTATTATGGGATAATAAGAAGTAATGTTTTAGGATTTTTAAAAACGGGTTACAATATTTAAACTTAAAATATTTTCTGTAGCTACTATGTAATTCTGTAAATATATACATTTGTTTTGTTATTTCATCTCTAAATCTGTTATATAATTCTAGAACTGTATTTTTAATCCTGTAAAGTGTTTTATTAAACCTGTAAAATGTTTTGTGGTGTAACAGTGGGATTTTCAAAAGCAGTCGCTGTTGCCATAACTGAAAAATGCCACCCAACTCCTTGATAAGTGTACAATACATTATTATTTTACACTGTAAAAATTAAATAATTATGAAATGTAGTGGATTAATGACTGCATTGTAATGAGCCGGAATGAAAGCTGCTGCAAGTGGCTTAACTGGGCAACTAGTGAAAAGGGCTTAGGATCTCATCCTGCCAACATCTACACCTGTGAGTAACTTACTGACATCGGTGTCCTTCCTATTGAATTCTAGGGGACTACTCATATCAGTAAAGTTACATATATGTGTGAATAAGATTACTCAAAGGCCTACTTAAAGTTAAGCATGTGAGGTGATCAGGCTTTTGTGTGTGGATAAGGCAGTAAAAATGCAGAACTCAGTAACACAAAATAAAAGACACTTTCAAATTTTTCTTCACTATGCTGCAGTTTGGTTACAGTTCATATCTACTAGATAAACAGGTAAAAAAAAAAATAATGTTCTTCTAGGGCATATCAGAAAAACAGTAAAAAATCCTCTCACCTGCGTGGTCTAGTTCTTGGGGACATCATTTCATTTCCAAGTATGTGGTATCTTCTTGCTTCATGCAGCAGCTGATAACACTCTGGAGAATTCTGAATCAGCTGTTCCACTTCCACTGTCTGTACAAAATAGTTAGGATGTAATAAAGGGAGTCTCACATGTGTTAGAAGTTCCTGTAACACTGGTCTTCTCAGATCAACAGCACGGTAAACCCAGCGCATAACTGCTTCAAAAACCATCTCTTCTTTACTGATCACCAACTCATCACTGCAAATATAATCAATGAGCTCATCTTTCCCAAGCTCAAGAAATTCTTCATGCTGAGAAACATCCTCGAATGTCTGCAGTGCAAAATTTCTGCATTTGGTGAAGAGTGTCTTTAGTGAGTGTGTATCAGCAAAACGCTGGATTCCCAGGCAGTTACAAGGATCCAGTTGCTCTTCCAGGAACTTGGCACAAGCATCACGCAGAACACTAATTTGAAAGAGACTTGATGTTTCAAAGATATATTGCACATTCTCTGTAGTGATTTTCACCTTGCCAGTGTACACGTACTGTAAAAAGCAATCCATAGCTTCAGCAAAAATGCCATTGATCTCCACCAACATTTCTCTGCTTTCTCTGTGATCATTGCAAAACATAGCTCTGAAGTAGCTACTGCAGGCCGAGAGAACAGCTCGATGACAGGGAAACTCTCTTCCTTCCACACAGATAATTACATCTGTGAACAAGCGGCTGTCTCTAAACTCATTGAAGATCTGGAGTATGCTTTCAGCATGGGATGATCCTGAAGAGAAGTCAAAAAACTCATGACCTGATAAGGACTTTGGGTCCATTTCAAAAACTTTACGTTTGGTTGCAGGGGAATCACGGACCCCGCTATCCTCTCTATTCAGTCTGCGGCCCAGTATTAGTACCATTGTTACATCCGTTGACTATAGAATCATTGAGAAAAGATTTCTGAGTGTCTTCTTTATGGTGCTATGGCTAGAAGAATTAAAACATTTTAGTACCCAACAAATCAATTCTGACAGTTAATGCAATGAAAGAATTATGAAATTTATGAAACTTGCATAATACAAAACAAATAGCCTGATCAGTCTAAAATCTGTGTAACTTACACTACTCTAGTAACGGTCAAAAGTTATTATTTGGCAAATGAAATGTGACACCATGCAATGCAATGAAATATATCCTACTGTAATGCATACACACAAAGGACTGAGTTAAGGTTGCTGTGAGAACCATAATTATGAATAACCTAGCCTTTGTTTAATTGGAGTATCACCTTTATATCAAGCTTAAAAATGTTAAAAGGCTAAATCCTAAAGTCCTTACTCAAGCAAATCTCTCAGTTGATATCAGCGGGAGTTTGCCCGAGTAAAGACCTCAGGATTTTGCTATACAGATTTTTAAACTGCTTCTTACTATGTGTTTGCACAGCCCCTAGCACAACGTAAGTCTGATCTCAGGGCCTCCAGGTGCTCCTGTAATACCACCAATAAAAGTAATATTAAAGAAGAAATTTTTAAACTAGAACAATTGTAGAGGGAGGCTACAAACCACATCTCAGTCTTCAGTATACATCAGTACCATAATGCAATCTATGGAGTTTAATGATTTTGTTTATCCTAGTGACCATTCCTGATCAGCAAAAGCAAATGTCTTAACTCTTTCTCCTTATCAGCAAAACAATCAGTTAATCAATATGCTCTGGTGAAATTAAAAATTAATACAGGTTACTAATGTGCATTTTGGAAAAAATACCTAAAATTAATGTTGAAGCATAATGTAGATACCACAGAAAAAAGGCAACCGCATGAATAAGTATCAAATAAAACATTACGTATATTTGTGAGAAAACCATTATGCAAGCAAATGAATAAGGAGTCTTTGCATCTGGAAGTAAGAAGTGGGAGCTACCTAATGAGTTAAAGGAGAATTTCTATTTTCTGACAATAGTTAACTCCTATCTAAAATTTAAAAGCAAAGACTATAGTCGAAGGCATTATATCATCATCAATATATACAGCTCTCTCACTCACACACAAACTATGTTAAAAGAATATTATTAAGATTGCAAAGTCAAGCACTCAAAGGTTAGGAAATGATTTAAGGTTGCCTGTGAATATAATACAATTAATTTGCCTAGACATAGCCTGGTGAAGGTATATACGATGATCATCCCTATAAGCATAGCTCAGTTGGTATATCTTTTAATTCCTGATTTTTAAAACCAACTGGATTAAAGCCCTACAAAAAAAAACCTGGGAAGCACTCCTGCACTAACTTCCATAATTCTAAGTGCATGGATTCATTTTTAAACTTCCAGGAAGATGTGTCTCAAATTATTTTAAAACTTGTGCAAAAGATTCTTTTTAAAAAAAGGATTCTAAGAGATTACGTTCATTTCCTCTCATTCCCCATGTGCAGAGACAGTAAATGCTGTTTCTAACACTAATTTTATTTCCTGACTGCCCAGCATCTTCAGAGCTGCATATTACTGGACCAAAGTCTGGTTACACCATCTCTTAACATAGAACAAAATTACTTTTTTTTAAACAGGCTTTTTATAAAGCCTCTTTAGAAGGCACTATTCTTGCCTGTATTCTGTAGTACAATTTTCTCACTAAGACAATTTTAAAAAGGAACACTATAAATATACCAAACGTCATACTGTTGCTTTTTACATAGGGCTCAATTCTATTTCAGACACAATTTAATGAAAACCTCTAGAAATTATTTACTAGGTAGAAAACACTTTTGATAAGGTCATATGAAGGCTACAAAATAATTATCCTTAATTTGGATTAACACATGGATTACATGTCAATTTATTGCCTAAAGAATACTGTTGCGTTCAATGTAACATTTTCAATAAAGCCTGCTAAAGCACCCAGTTAATATTGTGTCACTTGATATTCTAATCTGTATCTCTATACTCTATCCAATTGATTTTGCAACAGTTTTATCCAGTAGTGACATCTCCTGGGCCAGATGAAAATATTAAACTCACCAGTTATACTGCTTTCTAAGGAACTCAAATATGAAATTGCAAAACTACTAACTGTGGTATGTAACCTATTGCTTAAATCAGCATCTGTACAAGATGACTGGCGGATAGCTAATGTAACACTGATTTTTTAAAAAGGCTCCAGAGGCAATCCTGGCAATTACAGTCCAATAAGCCTAACTTCAGTACCAGGCAAACTGGTTGAAACTATAATAAAGAACAGAATTATCAGACGCATAGATGAAAGTGATTTGTTGGGGAAGAGTCAATATGACTTTTGTAAAGGGAAATCATGGCCTACCAATCTACTAGGATTCTTTAAGGGGGGTCAACAAACATGTAGACAAGGATGATCCAGTTGATATAGTGTACCTGAACTTCTGGAAAGCCTTTGACAAGATCCCTCTCCAAAGGCTCTTAAGCAAAGTAAGCAGTTAAGGGATAAGAGGGAAGCTCCTCATGTATTAGTAATAGGTTAAAAGATAGGTAACAAAGGGTCAGAATAAATGGTCAGTTTTCACAGTGGAGAGAGGTAAAAAGTGGGGTCCCCCAATGATCTGTACTGGGACCAGTGCTTTTCAACATATTCATAAATCAGGGGTGGCTAACCTGAGCCTGAGAAGGAGCCAGAATTTATCAATGTACATTGCCAAAGAGCCACAGTAATATGTCAGCAGCCCCCCATGAGCTCCCCCACCCCGCTCCCAGCGCCTCCCACCCACCGGCGATCAGCACCTTCCCCTCCCTCCCTGCACTTCCCGATAAGCTGTTTCGTGGTGTGCAGGAGCAAAGGCGTGGCAGGCTGAGGGGAGGGGGCAGGGCCTGTGGCAGAGCCAGGGGTTGAGCAGTGAGCACCTCCTGGTACACTGGAAAGTTGGCGTGTGTAGCTCCAGCCCCGGAGTTGGTGCCCATACAAGGAGCCGCATATTAACTTCTGAAGAGCTGCATGTGGCTCCGAAGCCACAGGTTGGCCACTCCTGTTCATAAATGATCTGGACAAGGGGGTAAACATTGCGGTGGCAAAGTTTGCAGACAATTCAAAATTATTCAAGATAGTTAAATCCAAAGCTGACTGTGAAGAGTTACAAAGGGATCTCAAAAAACAGGATGACTGGGTAACTGGACACTGGATTTATGGCTAAGGCTGCAAATTTGTCATGGAGGTCACGGATTCCGTGACCTCCGTGACTTCTGCAGCGTCCGGTGCACCTGGCTATGGGGCAGCTCAGGCAGCCCCTGCGCCAGTCATACCAGCTGCTGCTGGGGCAGTCTTGGGCCACTGCGCTGCCCCTCCCCCCCCCCCAGCAGCAGAGTTTAGGTGTGGGAGGGAGCAGGAGGTTGGGGCATGGGACGGGGTGAGGTGGGCTCTGGGCGGCGCTTACCTGGGGGGCTCCCTGGAAGTGGCAACATCCCCCTCACTCAGCTGCTAGGCGGAGGCATGGCCAGGCAGCTCTGCACACTGCCTCTGCCTGCAGGCACCGCCCTCACAGCTCCCACTGGCCATGGTTCCCAGCCAATGGGAGCCGCAAAGCCAGTGCTCTGGGCGGAGGCGTGTGCAACTGCCCCCTCCACCACCAGCGGGGGTTCCAGGTCGCGTGCCACCAACTGCCCTCCCCCAGCACACAGGCCACCCTCCCTCAGCACCTGCCGTGCCCTCAGGCAGCCTCCCCTCCCCCCGTTTTAGTCACGGGTATTTTTAGTAAAAGTCATGGACAAGTCACGGACCGTGAATTTTTGCTTACTGCCTGTGACCTGTCCGTGACTTTTACAAAAAACACCCATGACTAAAACATAGCCTTATTTAGGGCTTATTACAAAAATCTGTAATCCACTAGCCCCCTTTTGGTCCTATGACTGCAGACGTTTTAAAAGGCCACTGTACCTTGAATGGTCCCTTACGATATGTGCTAACTACTTATGCTAAACAATCTTTTCCACTTTACATTTAGTTTGGACACTCGGAATACCTTTCCCAGACCTGAAGAAGAGCTCTGTGTGGCTTGAAAGCTTGTCTCTTTCACCAACAGAAATTGATCCAATAAAAGATATTACTTCACTCATCTTGTCTTTCTAATATCCTGGCACTGACACGGCTACAACTACACTGCATACATGGGTAACCAAATGTCAGATGAAATTGAATGTTGATAAAGTACTGTGAATTGGAAAACATAATCCCAACTATACTTACAAAATGATGGGGTCTAAATAGCTGCTAGCACTCAAGAAAGATCTTGGAATCACTGTGGATAGCTCTCCGAAAAAAACTGCTCAAAGGGCAGCAGCAGTCAAAAAAGCTAAGAGAATATTAGGAACCATTAGGAAAGGGATAGATAATAAGATGGAAAATACCATAATGCCACTATATAAATCCATGGTATGCTCACACCTGGAATACTGCATGCAGTTCTGGTTGCCCTATCTCAAAAAAGATATATTAGAATTGTAAAAATTACAGAGAAGGGCAACAAAAATGATTAGGGATAATGGAACAGCTTTCAGATGAGGAGAGATTAAAAAGACAGTGTTCATCTGAGAAAAGAGATGACTAAAGGGGGGGAACATGATACAAGTCTATAAAATCATGAATAGTGTGCAGAAAGTGAGTAAGGAAATGTTATTTACTCCCTCACATAACACAAGAATCGGGGTCACCTGATGAAATTACTAGTCAGCAGGTTTACAACAAACAAAAAGGAAGTACTTGTACACACATCACACAGTCAACTTGTGGAATGTTGTGAAGGTTAAAAAAAATTAGATAAGTTCATGGAGGATCAATGACTATTAGCCAAGATAGTCAGGGATGCAACTCTGTAGTCTAAGTGTCCTTAAATCTCTTACTGCCAGAAGCTGGGACTGGACGACAGGGATGGATCACTTGCTAAATTGCCCTGTTCTGTTCATTGCCTCTGAAGCATCTGGCACCAGCCACTGTCAGATGACAGGATACTGGGCTAAAAGGACCATTGGT